TTAAACCGTTGTACAGTAACAGTTCAGGAAGTGCTAAACTTCTGGAAGTTCAGAGGAGTTCTAGATTTCTTAATTTTGTTTTGAAACTGTCTTTAAATTGGACTTGTACTTACATATAAGAACTACAAGACATGCAGCATGTAGCATCACAACTGACAGGATTTAACATGACAGAAGCAGAAGGTGGTTTGTTATGAAAGACTGAAAGTGCTTGCCCCATCTTGATTTGTAATAGAATAACCAGGAAGGAGGTGTATCCAAACTGGCCTTACCTTACTGTTTTATAGTTTTCCAACAGCTGTTTTCCAGGAGCCTTTTTTTTCTCTTTCAGTAAGTCACTGATGGTGTTCATCTTGTAACTGGTGTTGGATACTTTCTTTTAATTATGTATTTTTTAAATCCTCTGGGTAACTTTCATGTCTAGAAGCTTTGTTCCATATTAACTCTTACCAAAAGCTTTACTTCCCAGTTCAGTAAGATTTACTTGTATAATAATACAATGGGTTTGTTTGGTTTTAATTTAAAATGTTGTATGTGGCTGTAGGTAATTAAAAACATTTCCTGAAAAATAGTGGGTTTGACTGTACCATGCTGGAATTGCCTCTGCTGATCATGAAGAGTTGAATAATAGTCATTTGTCACATAGGGTGTTGACTCAGACACAGATGATTTCAATTCAGATGACAGAGGGTGTTACAAAACCCAGCTGTTGACTCTGCTCCTCTTTCCACAAGTTGCTTTGTCTGTGGCAGGAATGGCTGACCTGTGGAGCAGTTTTTGACAGCCACAGTTTCTGGCCTAATTTATTCAAGTAAACCAGTGATGACTTTTAAGTTGTTTTAATGCACTGGGTTGGCAACTCCAACAGTTTAGGAGCTGTTTCTAACGTAAATTGTGAGTGCTAGCATGGTAGTGGCAGCCTTTGGAGAAGAGTGAAAGCCTGGTAGGATGTTTAAGTTGCCTGTATTAGTGCATAAATTCTCTGTTTCTGATTCACATTCACACTCTTTTTCTGACTAAAAAAGAGTTTTTGCAGCAGTCTGCCAGCACTTGCACAGCAGTTGGAGAGAGCCACTGGCAAGACATTTTCTTGGCTCAAAATGATTAATCTCGAGCTAAGGCAATTGCTCCAAGAGCTTTGGTTGTTAATCAAATTTGGAGAAAAGACAACAAGAAATATTAAAACAGATACTCTTCTTTGAGGTTTCAATTGCACTGGGATTGGAAGAAGACTGTTTACTTTTTTAGAAAAGGTACATGGTGGATTCTATTGAATAAATCAATAGGGTGTTAAATAGGAAGCTCTTGAGACAAAACTACCAGGTAGGCTGCTTAGAAGGGAAGAATGAAAATAGGTTTGTGGCTGGGAAGGGTGCCAATTTTCCTTGCTATCCTTCTAGGATAATACCTTGCTGAGCTCACAAGGTAGCTCTGGGGGTTAAGGACTTGGTTGACTTCTCAGTAGAGTCAGGAAAGCTAACTTTGATAGCAGTGGGTGGAAGAGACAGCCCAATTTTAATATGTTAGAAAAATCTCAAATAGAGGCTTCTTGTTTATTTGTATCTAGATACCTACTATGTAAACTTTAGATTTCTGCCCTTCAAACAGAATTGTTTTCCCAAGAAGAACTTAATTCTTCATTTGGTTTTGATTATGCCTTCATAGCCTTTTTCTGGAGTTAAAAATAGAATACTGATATCTTCTGTCTAATTAACTTGTGGACTAGATGCTTCTGTTGCCTTTTTTTCTCCTGTAACATGATTGAATTCCTTGCACTGCAGCAACCCTGAAGTCATTACACTGCACTTAAAACAAAATGCAGAAAGGAATGACCTTTTGCTAGGACTCTGTGTTGTTTTTATTGCTAAGCCTGATCGCCATCTCCCAGCAAAAGCCAGTTTAATCCTTAAACATTAATTAGATAGTATCTGTTCAGAATTGTCTATTGTTTGCTGTCTGTTTCTCATTGATTATAACGTTGTGCATCTCCACAATGCCCCTATTTGCCCCTTGGCTCTTCATTGTACAGGGCAGCTCTTATCTTCCTTGCTGATAGCATATCACCAATGGTACCAGTTAAGAGCTGAAAACACTTGTAGCATAATGGAAAGTTCCACTTTTGCCAGGATGACTCACTAATTAATCCCTGGATGGAGAGGCTTCCTGTGCCAACTTAGGAAAAAGTTATGGGAAGATACTATTATATATCAGAAGATAAATGATTGGAAGAGTTTTGTCAGCATTATAGGAATTACGTTTTTTAACTCTCAATCTTAGAATTGAGAGCTTGGAAACTCACTGAATAGATACTTTGGAAATAATTTCCATCTTGCTTTGCTTTAGGAGCAGACAGACAACTGCTGAGAAGAGTGGACTGGTACTAGCAGTGTTGGAGGCAAGCTGTACATCCATGAGGCACTAAATACTTTTCTTTCCAACTGAACACAAGCTTTTGGCTTCAAATAGGCCACTGTTCTAATGAAGCTACCAAGCTGACCACTTGGGAGGGAAGGAAGAAAATAGGCTTGGTTTTGGGTGGTGTCAGGGGGTTGGAAGGCCAAGGAAGATTTGGCTGCTGTGCAGAATGCTCTCCTGTGCCTGTCAGACATTGCTGAAAGTGAGTGGGTGGCTGGTTTCACTGTCCCAGCCTGGTGTGGATGGAATGTCTGTAATTCAGGACTTCAGCAAATTTATCTTGTGGACTTCAAGGAATCCTGTGATGCCTTCATAGTGCTGGGGGCACAATTTAGTTTTTGTAAAGGAATCTTTGCCAGATCTCAAAGATAAAGCATTGTGTGTCTGTAGCAGGCTTGAACCAAACATAGTGGTCACTACATAAAGACATATGATGGGTGTAAATATCTTCAGTGAGGAGCTGTAACAAGGCCTAGGAGTGAGAAGGAAGCTCCAGAATTTAACTCCCAGTAGTTTCTGAGATAGAAAGAGTTTTCACTGCAGAAATCTTCTCCCTTCAGAACAGGGAAGCAGTAAAAAATTTTGGGGAGGTGTTTCATTTAAGCTAAAAGTGTGCTTGGACTTGTTCTATTAACATTTGGGCATTTCAGGCTTGACAAGTGGCTATAAAATGCCAAAATACAGATATTTTTAATCTCCAGTGGAGCTGCTTCATTGATTTCCCCTCAGATGCATATATGTGCAGAGGTGACTTCTGCTTTTTGCCCCAAGGAGTGTCTGTTGTTTATCCAAAATACAAAAGGTTAGACAGACTTGTTACCTGATTGTCTCTTTTTGGCTGGTTATCTCAGTCTGCTGTCTGTCTAGAAGGAAAAACAGGTGTTGAGCTGTGACAGGCTTTGTAACCATGCAGAGCAAATTGAGGGGCATGAAGCAGAAAAGAATGGAACTTTGTACTATAGACTGCAAGCAAAAAGAGATGAGGAAACTAATTTTGTTAAGAAAATGAGCATGCCAAGTAAAATACAGGTTCAAACCATTTGTTCTCTTGAGAAACTTTATGGTCTAAATTTGACATAGACTGTAGCAAGTATCCAAAGAACTGCCATATGGAGGAATAGCAGCTTGTGTTAAAATCATACACTTAACAGCTTAATTTCTAAATCTCTATTGAGCAGTGTCTCAATTCAGCAGTAGAAAAAGGGTGCTTCATGGGGAGAATGGAGTGAGAAAGGAATGGTGTGACTTTTTGAGTACATCTTGCAGGTGAAAAAGGAAAGGCTGGGAAGAACTGTCTGTAGTGAGGAGCGAGACATGAATCCAGGTGTAATCAAAACAATTTCAGTTTGTTACTCAATAGTGACGTTACTGCTGGAACTGACTAAAAAAAATATTTTCACCATCTCACCAAAGAAATGACCAGTCCAGGGAAGAGTAAATAACACTGCCTTTTTTTTTTTTTTTACTTAAGTAAAATTTTTTTAAAAAGTTGGACAGGAATTATCAACGGCAGTTCTGTACATAGTATAGAGTAAATGTCAGCAACACTCTGTAGTGCTAAACCCTTTTTCATTTCCCTTGCCTCAGATGAAAGCTTAAGCATTAGAACAGAAACCATATAGAATCTGAGCTCTGTAGTTTCTCAGTGAGGCAAGGTGCTTTTGTGATGTTCATGGTGTGTTGTCCTTAGCTCAGTAGCTCCCAGTGCTTCTCCCAGAGTGCAGACATCCCTGGGAGCTGCTCCCCCTCAGGGGGCTGGAGCTGCCAAATCTCAGCCCTATAGCACACTATTCAAAATCAGTCCACTTAGCACCTTTGACTTAGAGCTGCAAGGGGCTGACACCCACTGGAAGGTGACCTGGAAAGCCTTTCAGGAACAATGTACCTGTCCATACAGGAGAAGCTGATGGAAAGTGTTTTCAGCTTTCAAATCTTTATCAGGATCTTTCTGAATCGAGTGCTGGGGTTTTTGACATCAACACTGTGATAAGCAGAATTGGATCTGTAATGGCAGAAGATGGCAGGTATTAAACTGTGAAATCTGAAAGGGTAAAAGTAACAATTCCAAGTTAGTGGAGACTACATGCCCAAAATAAAAAAGGGATGGCTGCTTTTGTTTTAAATAAAGTCATCCTCCCTCAACTCCACAATAAAGCACAGGACAAACAATGAGCATGTTGGGGGAGGGAAGGAGAATGAGGGGAGAATAATAATCATCTGTAGAGAAAGTAACCACTTAGGTTCCCAGAGTCCTGCTCTTTTAAACAAATGTTGACTTTAGTTCTCTGTTTATGGATTTGGAGAGGAAAAGTCTCTGAAGTTCTATTTCATTTGAAGTTGCTGGATTCTCAGTACTTCAAACAAATCACAAGTATTGATACTTTGAATATTTCATGTGGCAACACATGAAATATTGATAGATAAATATAAAATTTTAATTGATAAACTCCAGTGTCTCATCCTCAGCTCTGCTGTATTATTGTGTGTATACTCATGAGCTGTTTTTACATTTATGTGAAAAATAATAAATGTGAACCGTTCTTTACCTTTGTAGAAAACAATTTCAGGTCCTTCTGTGTTCACAGGTTTTGGATGCAGTCTGTGTCTGAGAAGTATGAAGAAGAGATGCCTTCTCTGCACTGGGGCATAGATCCTGTATTTTCTGCATTTGCAAGACTCTATATTAAAGATATTACAGAAATGAGAGAATCTATACAGGTGCCAGGTATGTATTTATATGTGCTGATTATGATGCACACAGTATTATAATTGATTTATGTTGTGCTTTTTTATGAAGGGATTGAAGAATACTTCACAAACATCAGTAAAGTAGTATTCCATTACCTTAAGCTAAGTGATGTTAGTATCTTTTAGCAGTTCTAAGAACAACATGTTGTATGTGAAATGTATGTGAAAAATAAAATATATTTGTTAAAATGGTTTTCCTTTTTCTCCAGAACCTCTTTTACATTAAGGTAATGTTGTGTTTCCTTTGTGTGGTGGTGCTTGTTATATTCTGATAAGGTTAATTCTAAAATATGCTTGTCCTTTCTGGCTATATGCATTGCTATCTCTCCACTGTCTCTACATTTTTTGTACAATTGTGACAGTTGATGACATTGCTGGATGTGTGATTTTGCTTTTTCCTATGGATATTAATACATTATAAGACAGATACAAGTTTTGAGATTTTGTCTCCTTCATTTCTAGATATGCTAGATAAATTACATTCTTCCTACATTGGAACAGCCTTATTGTAAACTCTGGCCTCCGTGCTGGACCTCACCCCACACGTGTTTGCTTTGCAGTCTGTGTCCTGCCGGTCTGCAGTGTCACCCACGTGTGATCTTGGGCTGAAGCAGCACAGCTCTGACCTTGAGTTGCTGTTTTCTCTACCCAGTGTGTCTTCTGCTGTGGAAGGGTTCATTACTCCCAGCTGAAGCCTGACACAGTGCAAGATTATTAGGGAGGAACCCAGAGAACTTAGAATTAATGAGGAAGAGCAATAAGCCCTAAGCACAGTGTATGTCTTTGGTTTGGTTTTGATATTTTATTTGTGGGTTTGTTTGGGTTTTTTTGTTTTTTTTTTTTTTTTCTGTCCACAGAGACTAAGTACCCATGTTTGGCTTTTTGAATATGCTTTGCCTTGTAGGTTTTGTTATTCTTTTTCAGTTTTCTTTAACAGCAAGGATAGCAGCAATGCTATTTTTGGAGAAATGAAGGACTGAGTTTTTTTTCTCTTGTTGCAGCCATTTCTATGTACATAAGGACTTCACAAACCACAAATACCAGTCTATCTTGGTTATTTAACATGGCGAGAGATTTTGTCTTGAATCCATTGCAATAATTAGGCTACATCAACTGTTGTTGATGTTTGTCCTACAGTAAGTTTTATTTAGAGGCCTTTTTCAACTGTCTTATAAATGTCTTCTAGTAGTGCTGCTGTGGGAAATGCATCTCGTAAAAAACTGTTCTTCATCAGTTACAGATATTTTAATTGTTTTCAAACAAAATACAACACAATTCAATGCCAGCAGAATTGGACTGTAGTTTGGACTTGAACATTAGTACATACAAATGCTAAATTCAGAATAATTAACCTTATAAACACCAACAAACATTTCATGATAGCAGGAACAGCCCTAGAAAGTAGAGTCCTGCTCTTTTTTTCCCCCCAAAATACCTGAATTTCCCTTCTTACTTCTCTTCCTGTTCTTTTACTTAAATGAGTTGGCTTCTGCTTCAGGAACTTTTTCAGTTTTATTATTACCTGTGGGGTTTTTTTTTCTAAGATCATCCTAAGGAGGTGGTATCTGTCATGTCAAGATATCAGCCTTTACAGTTGGAACATTTGAGCTTTCTCCACTTCCTGTGCATCTGTCACTCTGCTTGCTTGCAATCCTGCCTCATTTTCTAAACCAAACTTCAAATAAAATGGAATTTTCTACAATCAACATCCTGAATTTAGTTCATTCTCCTGGTGCTGTGTATACACCAAAGCAGACATTTTTCAGTGTATTTTATTTGTTAGCAACAAATGATAGCACAACAAAAACACTAAAATTAATACTTTTGAGGAAGGAAGGATGTAGGTGTTTGTTGTCAATGCTTCCTGCCTTTAATGGGCTTTTAAAGACCAGCTGAAGCTAAGTATATGGTTGATTATAAATCAGTCATTAAGTAATGGTAATTAAGAATGAATGAGTGCAAACCAAAAAGTTGTAACTAGGAAGAATGGAAAGAAACACAGTCTGAATGTCAGGAAAAACATCCCTAGAATGACATCTGTTAGACCATGGCACAGCCTTCCCAGGAAAAAGGGGGGGATGCCCTTCACTGGGATTGTTTATATTCTGACTGTACAGATTGCCAGGAATTTACTGTACAAAATGGTCTTGTATTGGCCCTGAGGAAATGGACTGAATGACCTAATGAGTTTTTTCTTTCCACTTTTAAACATTAGGATTTGATGCCACAGTGATTAATCCCTTAAAACAACACTGAGGGAAGCAGCAAACCTGGCCAATTACTCTGCTGCTATAAATGGTGACAAGAAGGCTGGAAAACCTCCCAGATAAAAACAGCAATTGTGTTGTCTTAGCAGCCTTGCAATGAGAGTGGGTGTCAAACTCAGTTGTAACACATAATCATGGAAATGAGCTTTTCTCAGAGTTATCATGCACCACTGCTTTGTGACAGTTTATCAACAAGGAAGGGAAGCCACAAATAGCATAAAAGGAGGTGATAATAATTAAAGGAATGGCAAACAGCACAGTAATGCTGGTACAGACATGACCAGCACTTGCCCTAGAGAGCTCTGTATCTGTAGCCCCCTGTAGCACTGCAGTGCCTGTTGTGGTAGTGGCATTTTGCTCTGTGTGTTGATTACTGGGGTATTAGGAACCTCACTGAATGTGTTTGTCTACAGCTTCAAATATTTAGTATATATTTATTGCTACCAATATGGACTTAATTTGAACAAATGAACTGTCAGGAGGAGTAATTTACACCTTGAAGTCATCAAGTCCAACAACTTTTAATAGGTTAAATATAATTTAATTCTTCAAATTAATTTGGGTAGTTTCTCTGAGAGTAAGGGTGGAGTTCTGCGTGAATTTATGGGGATGGAGAGAACCAGTTTTATTTGGTCTCTGTCATCTGCCAAAACTCAGCTTACTAACTGGGAAACAAACATAATAACATGTTGCTTGTTTGCATAATTAGGAGCTTGAAGTCTCTGCTCCACAGCCTTCTCTGAAACTATCCCAGACCTTTTACATAGATGTTGTAAGATTCAGTGAGTGACTACGTACACTGGGAGCATCTCCACTGGGGGTTTCTGTAGCAGTGTTTATTTGTGCCCTGGTAAATTAAGTGAGGAACAAGTGGACAGACCTGCTAAACGTTGTCTATGCCAGACCTGACCAGTGACTGCACAATTAGTATAGCCAGATCTGAGATGATAGCCATAGATGCATCCTCAAAACACTGCAGTGGATTTTTATGAGCAGAATTTCTGCTCATGAGCTGTTTGGCTGATCACCTCTGATTTCATCTGAAACTTTTCTGTTTTCTCTCTGCCTTGCGTGAAGAAAGTTAATTCCAGGCTCATTTAAGGCTGCTAGCTATGTAGGGCAAGTTATTTTTGGATTTTGGATTTTTTTTTTTTTTTTATAGAGAACATTTTTCTGACTCCCTTGCTGCTGTGTTTCCCTTTGTAAGAATAACACTTGCCACGGTGCATGAAGCCAAATGTTCCCTTCTGAATCCCTCGAGTTATCTAGTTTTCAGAAGACAGTTATTGAACATCCCAGATGGCTTATTTCAGTAAAGCAGCAGTATTTGAAAACTGAAGAAAACACATTCACTGAAAACTAGCCAGCCCAGGGAATATTTGGAGCTTATTGCCCTATTTTCCTCCTGCTGTTGGACTGGGAAGCCTCAGTGTATGATGTTTACACTAGTGTTTGTTAACAACATTTGTCACTCTCTTGAAAAGGGTGACAGAGTGAGGCAACCTCAGTGCTGTCAGAGTCCACTGGGCTGTGATTTCTCACTGTTTCCTGGACATGTTTCTAAGTGTTATTTAAGTTATCTTTATGGATGCACAAAAATAGCTTGGAAGGGATGCTTTTAAAGCATGTGTTTTCAGAAACTGAAGTTCAGGATGCAGTCCACAATGACTGCAGTAGTTTACTCTGCAGTCTGAGAGGACTGTTGCTCTCCCCCTGCCTCCACGGCTCCTGTTCTAGAAATGAAAGACAGAATTATGTTAGTTTTCCTTTTGGAGGCTCTGCCTTAATCAGGAACAGCTGCATTGTGAGAAGCTCAAACTGCTTCCTTTGTGTTCTATTATTTATTCTGAAGCCTTATGAAGATATAAAAAAACCCAAAGCAAAGCAAAACAAAACCCAAAATGAAACAACAAAACAAACAAACAAAAACCCCCTAATGCTTGCGGCATACAAACTCTTTTTCAGATCCAAATGTGCAGGAAAACAAGAGGTTAATAAGATTCTGACACTCTAAAAAAGGAAGCTTTTGTATCCAGCTGATACTTTCTCCTTTTAGTGTCCCTAGTCTTTAGTGATACAGAGGATTTTTCCTGTGTAGGCACTGTATAATTTAAGATATATTAAATATGTAAGAAAGTATGTTTTTTATTGACAAATGTGACTGTGTAGGGTAAGTTGTTGAAAGAAATAGTTACACTAATTCAGCATGTTTTGTTTCTAGGTGTATTCTTTTATAATGGACATCCAATAAGACAGGTGGATGTTGTTGGGATAGTGGTTCAAACAAAGGAGCGAGATGCCTTTTATAATTATGGAGGTAAGGAAAATGTCTTTCTTTCTTCCTGCACTTCTCAGCCTTCTATTTTAGTTACTTTTAGAACTGAAAGGTTTCCTAATGTGGTCATTGTGGATTCTTGAAACAAATGTGCTCTTATCCTAACATATATATCTGTGTGTATATATATTTTATATATAATGTATATCTACATATATATACATATATGTATATATATATATAGCTGTAGATATACATTATATATATATACAATGTATATCTACAGCTGAGATTACTTGGCAAATGTAGGGAAGCTACTGTTTATCTCTGCTTCAAAAATAGAGAATTAAATAACACAGAGTAATTGATTCATGTGGGGTCGTGTAGCAAATCTTAATTTTGGGTGTTGCTCTGTCACTGGACTCTGCCACCTTCCTCTCCTATTTGCAGTACCTTTGGTTAGAAGCAAACCTATTTAACAGTGCCCACAAATGGGAAATCACTTCTTCCATATTTGAACCTTAGAAATCCCTTCTTACTTTTTGTATGTCTTGTCACAACTTGGAGCCAACTTCTAATAGCAGTAAGGAGCTTGTTTATGTTTAGATGCACAAGAGTTTTAACGAATGAACTCAAGCATCATAGTACCAGTCCTTCCAACACCAGCTGGGAGTTGTCTCCTCCATATTGCTTTTCCCAGTATTCAGTTTTATTAACATGGAAACATCTGATTGTCATTTTGTTCAGCTGTCTTTTACATCTGGAGAAAAAGCAGAGTGGAGCAGTGGTGATGTGGCAAGTTTCAAAAGGTGGGGGGAGGTCACCTCACAGTAGGAAGGGGGAGCCAAATGCACAGATCCTATTGAAGCCCTTTTGGGCAGTGTCTTCTTCTGCCAGGGGTTTTCACCTGGTGGAGGTGAGTCACAGGGTGCCTCTCCTTCCCAGTTCCCTTGCCTGTAAGATTGCAGTTCCCTGAGCCTCAGGAGTACTGTGAAGATACAGCTGATGAATTAACCAGGTCCCGGGTTCCCCAGCATCAAACTGCTGCAGGGTGGCATTGACTGCAAATGCATTTATCACTTCATGAGAACAGAGGAAGACAGAATCAAAATGACCAAGACAAAACCAGTTCTATGGGTAAGGGTTTTCCATGCTGCTCTCAGCACCAGTTTAACAACTAAACCTGTTGAAAATGTTTGACTGGGGCAGAAAGTGGAGGAATAGAAATAAAAAGAAACTGCCGAGTAGTGGAATTAGGCCTTAGATCAGCCGACCTTCAAGTGCAGCTCACAGTAAGCCTGGCTTTCTTTCCTGCTGTCCTTTCACATCCAACTCCACTCTTTGTTCCAGCAGTTCCTGGTTTGAGTTTTCAGGCTACCTGCCAGGGTGCCCCTCCCCAGCCTGCCCTCCCTTTCAGGCAGGCCAACTCTGCCAGCACAAAACTGTAACTTCTTAGACACTTTCCTGCTTGTAACTTCTTGTATCTCTCAGTTCAACTGACTCTGGTGAGTCACAGGGGTTGCATCAGTTGGAGCGACACACACTGCTCAGGGCTTGCTCACTTTCCATCTGCTTAAAAGTGACTTACAAAGCAATTCCCCCTTTGTACTTTCCCTCTGATAGGGAACTGAAATGTCTTTGTGTCCCTGCCGTGATCCTCCCCCCTCATTTCCTATTTGTCTGTTTCAGAGTACACTTCACTCACTTTAAAGAATCTTTGGTCCTCTGCTGAAACCTACAGCCAGAACCGATGACAAAATTATAATTGTAAATAAAAGAGTTAATATACTCTTTCCTGGCTTAAAAAATAAAAATTACATGCTGTGTAATTTCTGATTTTGACACTTTGATTTGATTGTTTCTTGCTATTATTATGATAAGTTAGGAGAAAGATAGCTAATTAAAACATAGCTTTGATCAAGTTCATATTTTACCTAATGCACCTTTCTGACCTCTCTTATCCCCTTTCCTTTTTAATGAAACCAAACATCACATGTAGTTTTCTTTGTACTCCAAAACTGACTCGAAAAGCTGAATGGCAGTTGACTTAAAAAAAATAATTCTCCAGCATCTCAGTAGGTTCATGCAGGCCTGACAAGACCCATGCCCTTCTTGTCATAGAGAAATAAAAGTTTAGACAATTATCTCATTTAGCAGGTAGCTTTGAGCTACCCCTCAAATAATTAAGCAAGAATCAAAGAAATCAAAGTCAAACAAACAAAAACCAGGGAAAAAATGCAACAAACAAAAAGTAAACCCACAAAAAACCCAAATAAACAAAAGTTAAACCCAAAGAGATGAGGAAGGGCGGCACAGGGAGCACAGGAAGTTTTCAAAAGTTTGTAGACCCCTTGTGCATTTAAAATAGATCAACATTCTCTTGTCTAATTAGAATACAATTGCTAGAGTTCTCATTCATCTGTACTTCAGGAGTTACTTGTCTTTTTGCTCAAAGCTGTCATCCATGAAATTGCAAAACTTTGTTTCAGAACCTTGCTCTGCTACCAGATTCCTTCTGTGGTCAAGTACAGGTCAGTCTGTTTTCAGCTGTTACATTGAGGAGGAGTCTGGCCTCCTAATCCTTCAGTCTTACTTGGTTTGTTTCCAAGCCCTTCGTAGGAAGCCTGTCTGTCTTGGTTGGTGTGAGCTGGAACATCTAGAAACTGTGGGAATGCAAGAGTGAAATGTAATCTGCCCTGCCATTGCTGGCTTGCATGGATGGCTTGGCCAGGGCTTATGAGGGTTCTGCCTCCGACTAAAATAGTTGCTGTCTGACTGTACCAAGGAGAGGAAATCCTACCAGCAGATCATTATCTATGCACTGGTACAAAATTAAAGCTGCTGAAATAGTTGCAGACACAGCAGCTCAAAACAGAGAGCAGAGAGGAGCATATTTTTGTGATGGAATTTGGAATTGCCTGCATCTTATAAGTGCTGTTAGTTTTTTAATAGGAATGTGCAGCTAAACTGCTTGGAAACAGGAAGGCAAAACAATAATTTGAAATTACACCCCCCCGAAACAGGGAGATTGTTTTAAAACACGTGAGACAATGCAAAGGCATTTTGCTTTGATGCTATGGTTCCCAGAGGAAATTACTGCAGGTATCAATCAGCACCTTCGTGTAAACATTGCTGATACTTTTTTAGTCATGGACCTGGTTTAAGGAGCAGAAGAAAATTGCAGGTTTCCATTTGTGAGGAGTGGAATCTCAGTCTTGGAGATGTTACATTCAAGAAGCAAAGTGCATTGGCTGGATAATCCTTGACAGACATTTAGTGTCCTTCTATTTAGAGTGTTTGTTGCACAGGCCGTCTATATACAGTCCCTTGATTGACAGAAAATTGATTCTTCAGACAGATTTTAGTTTCCTTTGAGTTTTGTCTTTTCCTGCTGTCATCAACACTGCAGTGCCTGGAGCAGAAATCGTCAAACTTATTTTCATTGGACACTGGCAGAACAGGAAGAGCAGCTCGGTGCTCAGGAAAAGATGTTGAGCCTTTTCAGCAGAGGAAGTGGCATGCATGCCACCAGCACCTACACTCTAAGCTGGGAATTCCTGGCTTAGAGCAGAACCACAAGCATGCATATCTTCTGTCCTTCCTGCCTAGAGGAGCTGCCTTTCTGCTCCCTGGACATCATCCTATATTGCAAAGACCTGCAGACTTTGAGCATAATATTGGCATGGAAACCAATGCAGCTGCAGGTAGCTGCACTCCTGGTTTATTCACATGGTTGTATCCCCAAATGTTGAAGTTATATTTTCTCACTGTAACAGTAATGTTTCTGTAGTTTGTGCCTGGTTTCCTGTTTTAATTTGTCTGACTTCAAAACTGATTCTTCTCCTGGCCTTATCAACAAGATTGAAACCCCTTAGTATCCAATATATGTACTAAAGCCTCACCTCATCATTTAAATTAGTATATGATCTTTCTTTGAGAGTATACCTGTTATTTTGCTGACTATGCACATAAGCGCATCTGGTGCTGAGCTACTTCCATGTCTGAAACAACCGTGGAAATTATTTCAGATATGCAAGTAGAGTTTGGACATACACTTTACCTTCCAAACCAGTTGGAATGAGATGTCCTTGGCAGTTATCTCCCTACATATTTATGTATCTTCACTTCTTGGAACATGACTGCCTGCTTTCCTAGTCTGTAATTCTTGAATTTTTTTTTGCAGTGGATGATAGTACTGGAGTTATAAATTGTGTCTGCTGGAAAAATCCCATGGTAGCAGAAACACCTTTATCAGGTAATTTATCAAATAAATAAGTCCTCTTTTGACTGTATGTTTTTACTTATGTCTGTCTTAAGTAATTTAGTAAGTGATCAAACTTGCAGAAGAGCAAATTCAACTTTTTTAATTTTAACCCACCACATCATACTCCCTGGGCCATTTTGGGAATTTTCTATTAGTTTTTGTGCTGTGTTCAAGGGTGATGCCAATAAAAGCATTACATTATGTCCTGTCCCTGCCTTTTCCTTATTTGAGTAATGTGATATTTCAGTTCTATGCTGTGACATTGTTGAGAGAATTTGCCTGTTAAGATTCTTTCTGTGACTTCAACTAGTAAGGAACTAGGCTGGAATCATGCCACAACTTCTGTTTGCAAAGGCAGTCCATTGACCTGTCCTTGTGATTATGGTTTCAGGATTTATCCTTGCTTTGTTTGTATTCATATACTCCTGCTCATACAGACACTGTACCAATGAACTTGAAAGTAGCTTCAAACACAGTGGGAGGACGCCAGCTGTCTTTTACAATTTGGGCAAGGCCTAAATGTGCAGTAATTGTGCATTTGAAATTAATGTAATATTGCATTCACTAGCAGAACAACTCACTAGTGTCTGGCTGTCACTTTGCTTTTTCTCCCACTGTTTCTTGTAGATCAAAGTCCAGAATTCTTTCTACTTTGGATCTTCTTGGAAGCCCATGTAGTGGATTGACAACCCTAATATGGAACTGATCAAATCCTACTGAAATAAATCTTACTGGTGTCATCTGCAGTGTTAGGGATACATATTAATAGAATGGAAAAAGGAAAGCTTGATGAAAAAGTTAAAAACTCTGATGTCTGTGGAACAAGCCCATTTATACAGACAGATAATTCATACTTATATTTAATGATCCTATGACAGGTGGTACAAATGGTCCCAACTGTAATGTAGAAGACAGTTCTCACTTTGGAGACATGATGAGCTGACAGAGCTCTCAAAAAAAAAAATAGGAAACACGCAATCAAATCAGTTTTAAGGAACTTAAATGAGGAACTTAGGTGCATTAAAAGGAATTGCATGAAATACTGCTTGAAATAGAATGAGGGCCAAGAATGCTTTTCAGCCTTGTGGTCTTATTTTACACATACATCAGTAGTGCTTGGATGGACACTATGCTAAGAATGGCAATTCATTCATTTGTACCTGCTAAAGAAAGCTCTTGGGGGGAACAAGAAACTTTCTTCCAGCCTTTTGTAATTGTGATCAGGGATACTTGGAGCAATAATTAGGTTTTAAATTATGAAGGATTTACTGTCCTACAAAGCTGTGTTACGTAAACCGTGAAGTTCTGTCAAGTTGCATTCACCTCACTTGCATTCCCCTCAGTGTAGACATCAAATTGCATCACATGAATGCTTTGGCCCCACCTCAGATGACTCATTCTTCTTTCGTATAAAAAGTTCAGCTAACCTTTCTTTTCCCCTCTCATCCATCTTAGCATGATAAAATCAAAAAATGACAAAAAGTATTTCAAATTTATGTTTCAATTTTGCAACCCATCTATGACATTTTCAGTGGTAAATCAGTACCTTCTCCCTTTTATATTTTCCCCAGATGAACAATTTAAATAAGTATAATACAGTAAACTAATTTTGTCACCCAGAAGTTTTCCTACCCAGGACCCGTGGTGCCTGGGACCTTACCCTTTTTTAGTGATATGACTCCTGTGGTGCTTAGGTGGATAAATGAAAAAGGACAATTAATGCTTTGACTTTAGTGCCTGACTCCCTCACTTCTTGCAGGTCATCCAAGCACACCCAGCAGTCTCAGTGTGTTTGAACAGCTGAAGAAACTCCAAGAAACAGTAAGCCAGAGAACCAAGGTGGAGATTGGAGATGTTGTCAGGGTCAGAGGTCACATCCGAACCTATAGGCAAAAAAGAGAAATTCAGGCTTCATGTTTTTGTGAGTGTTGTGAATCTGTGATATAGGTAACTAAGATGTCTGAATCTGTGAAAATATCTGAGCTGTATGTAATTAACTGAATATTTTCCACATTATTTTTTGGGATCTCATTTTTCTAAGGATTTTGATCTGTATATCTTTATTTCAATTGTAGCAGCATAAGGTTAGAAGACACACTATGTAATGTGTGAGATTAGATTGCTTGTAAACGAGGCATTCCTGGAAAAACTGTAGAAGCTGATTAGCATGCATACAAGAACACCACACAGATACTGTGGTTGGGTGTCTGCAAGAGTGATTTGCTCTTCAGATTTCTCTGTGTTGAAGCAGAGCAGCCACAGCCTGTGGAAAGGGAGCTGGTGACCATCTGTGTCCCACTTCACCAAGGGCACTGAGGGCTTTGGAGAAGTGGCTGCAGTTTGTCACAGCCTGTACAATCCATTCCATGGGCAGGCAGCAGCATATGGGCAGTGTCCCACTGAAGCCTGGCTTCCCTCAGCTCCCTGGCTCTGCAGGATGAGGGAGAAGTGTTCCTCAGGCACAGATCTGCATGCAGGTGCTGCCTCTGTGTCTGACAGCTCTTGGAGCAGCAAGGCTCTGCAGCCCACAGCTCTGGGAGCTTCCAGTTACATAACTTCTTCTCAGCTCCATGTCTGTGCTGTTGGGTAAGAGTTGGTTTTCTCCAGTGAGATCTTACAGAGATAATACTGAAATTATTTCTTTAGTGAAGAAAATCCTGTCTTTTAAAAACCCAATGTAAGTCAGATGAAAAGTCTAGATTTTTCAGCTCTAGCTTAAATTTGCAAGGTAGTTCAACCCTCCTTTCCAGACAGAAGATTTATGAGTATATACAACCCATTCATGGGTTGGTAATAATACCAAAGAGAGCCATGCAATTCAAATAGCCTCTAAATTGCTTTCACTTTGGCCCAAATAAAGCTCCTTACTATGTGTTAACTTCATTTAATGGATAAAGGCTGCTGAAAGGTAAAATAGAGATCATAAATTCTGGTTAAATAAGTTGTCAGACAAAAGCATAATCTGTAATGCACCTCAACAGGCCATTTTACCTCCTTGTAAACTGTAAAAGAAGGATTGGCCTTTGTGGTTTGTTTTTATAAAAACCACAATGAACAAATTTTGCCAATTTAATACTGGCTGTGAAGCTTTGTTGTGCTGCCTCAGGTTTGCTTGCTTAAGAAATTGTATGGCAGTCCTAGCCAGGTCTACGTGTTCTCATTGCTTCTCCAGATAAAGTGGATGATCCTGTGTGTGATGTCCAGATTTCAAGAATGCTGGAGCTCCCCTGTCTCTATAGAGAAGTTTATGATAAACCTTTCAAGGTCCCTGAGGAAATACAGAGGTAAATGCAGTATGCAGAACTGCTCCTGGGGCAAAGTATGGGATATTATTATTGTTTACCTGTAATAACTCTGGAAAAAAATAGAACAGGGCCTGGCTGTGATTTAGACTGCATTAATATACAGTGTGCTTTTCTCACAAATAATTGATTATACATAGAGATGAGATACCTGTCCATAATCTGAGGAAAGAAATATAATGCCAAACTAAAGTGAATATTAGGAAGAAAACAAAATACAGTAAAAGTGTACGGACCTATTTTATCTAGTGAAAAAAGTTGGGATTTAGAGCAAAATTTGGGGCTGAGGTCAGAGAGGATGGAGAAGTATCCTTGACTGATGCTGTTTTATGTGTAAGATTGAGGAATTATCCACTGAAATGCTCTCCTGACCTTGTCATTGTCAAATCACAAATACTTAACCTCAATAAACTGAGTCAAACACCCACTCCTGTACTCAGTTTCAGGGAGGCTGAATGCTTATTGGGAGGCTTGGTGCATGTAGTGTTCTTTCAGAGACTGCAGATCATAAATTCACAGAACTGTAATAGCAAAAGATTGAAGAAGAACAGTTGAATGTTTATACTTATAAAAATTATCTGGTTTAATTAAGGATTTAAATTCAAATTCTTTAAGGACAGTAAAATATCCTTTGACCTTTGAAACCTGTCCAGTGAATTGACTTTATGTAATTGTTCTAAAACCCATTTCTTACATTTTGACATATTCTGTGTATCCTTGTAGTGGCTTGGAGGGTCAGAATTTCTCAATTCATATGCTGCAGGAGAAAGTGCAAGGCTTTCTATTAGAAAACAAAATTCAGACCTTTTACCAGCAGGAGTTGGAGACAGTTGATTCTCTGGTGTCTCTGATGGGTGTGCATCTACCCAGCCCCACCTGTGAGGAGGTGAGTGAATGCACATGTTCCAAGCTTTTAGTGGGGGGAAATAATACCATGTACTTTTTTAAAGCATAAACAGATAAGAGACTAGTGTCTTCAGAGGATTCAAAGCACACTAGTGCTTTAGCTTTACACATTAATTATTTACAGAGCTTGAGGAAATCTTCTTACTTTAGACATAAAACTGGGCTGGAAAAAGTAATGTAAGAACATTCTGTTATTAGGGGTAATCTTGTGTTAGGGCTGAGCAATCTTACAGCCTGCAACAGTCACTACTTTATTTAGATATGTAATTAGTAGCAGTGTCAGAAAAAGAGATTCCTTTAAGGTGCTTGAGTTTTTTCAGACAGAGGTTTGAGACCCTGAATCTGATCAGGAGAAGTGAGCACAAAATCTTTGTCTTGTTTCTCATTTACTCAATATATTAATAGAGATGCAGCTTTCAAGAGGAGGTTATGATGAGTGGATGAACAGTGTTCCCTGCTACGTGTTTCTCACATTAGAAATGCCTAACTGTGAAAGGCCATGATTGAAATGATGAGAAGGTGGGATTAGATTAAAATCAGTTTACAGGCAGTTGCATGTAACCAAACTATTAAGAAACTTTCCAATGAGTTAATAACCTCTTGATCAGCTGCAGAATGGGAAACAGAACAAAACTTGTTTTGTAAAATGGCTTTATATTATTCTGTATTAGTTGGACAAATTACAAACCGGATTCTGAACTGGTATGAAGTGATAAATTTCTGCAAAGCTTACATCTTTTACCACGAAAGCAATGGCAGTTGGAACTTAAACTGGAGTGTTGTGATTCATTTGTTTACTTTTTGGTTTTCTGTAGAGGAATAAATCCCTGGCAGTCATTTTCACCCTGATTTTGATGTGCACTGTAATGTTAAGTGCTATGTTCTGTTGACTTCTAATTAATTGCTTAATTCTTAAGAAACCCCCAAAAAAATAACACAAAAGCCAGTCTCTTGCAGAAGAGGTCAAATTATAATGAAAAGTAGCTCTTTTCTTGTTGGCCTTGTTGAGCTGCTGCTGATAGCTGTTCTTGATAGCTGGGTTGGGGTGGTTTTTTTTTGTTTGTTTGTTTTTATTTAAAGCACTTTTTCCTGGTTTGCTTTAAAACAAGCATAGATATTAGCACCAACAGGAGCTATTCTCATTTTAGACAGAAAAGTTTGCTAGTAGATTATCCAACATGGCACCTGGTACTTTCTAAACCAGCTGGAACAGTATGAAAAGTTCCCAAATACTTTACATTAAAGGAAGTAGTGGCCGTTGTGTCCAATACTGGAAACTTAAACGCTTCAGCATTTATAGAAAGACCAAGATAAATAATTTACAAAGCCATTTAAAGTAGGAAATAGTGCAGAACAAACATAGAAAGACTGAAAAAATCCCCCAAGATAACTCAAACCAAACAAAACATCAACCAGTCAAAAGAAAAACAACCCAAAAACGCCAAACCAAGAAAAATACTGTAGCATCAGTGTTGTTGGCAGTCATGAAGAGCTATCATAGTAATTAATAGTTGCTCCTGACCCTGATACAAGGATGTGAGTTTATGTCCCAGGAATTGGGGCACACAGATGCTTATTTAGAAATTGCAGTTCTCCTTATTGTCCTTTACTATTAATTTCTTGCAAATAAGGTTATCTGTTCTTGCATAAGAAAGGACTTGCAGTTGTCAAGTGGCATGAATGCCTTAGGAGTGCCTGGTAATGCTCTGGAAATGTATTTCCTTGTTCAGCTACTCTGTCTCTAGAAGGTGTCACTTTTCATAATTGGCAAAGGGTCAAGTACCCAGTTCTGTCCACAAAAGGAAGTGTAATAGATCAGATTTCTGTCCCTCTTCCTTTCTTTTCTCTTCAGTAGTCTTTTGTTTTGCACTGCCTTCAAACCAAGAGGATAAATGATGCTGCTGATGTGGAACAATACTATTTTGGGCCCGTTTGGCAAGGCAGGAGTTACAGAGCCAGCTCAGCTAATTAGGCCATGCCACAATATACACACTTGTTCACTTCTTGCACTTTTCCTGGATGTAAAAGGATGAGTTATTTGGATGTATAGTTAATTTTTAAATCCAGATTCCAGTGTTCTAGAGCACAAGTTGCTGTTAAACCGTTTGTTTCCTTTCTGTTCCTGTCCCCCTTTCCCCCTTCATCTCTTTCCCAACTTTTAAAGCACTTGCACAGTATTCACCATAGTGGGAGGGTTCTCCCCATGGAATATTTTCTCCAGGGAGGTGAAGAGCTGCTGTGGAGTGGAGCAGAGCGTGAAAATGGAAGGAGTTAGCTGGGGTTTGAGGTAGGCAGCATATCTGTGTTGCTTTTCAGCATTTTTGTGTAGCTGAGCCCTGTCCACGTCCCATACATGTCCTACAATAAATACTTTGTTCCAGTCCTGTTGCCTCCCTGGCACTGCAATCTTCTGTCTATCCAGAATAAATTTCCCTCTGGCAAATGCATCTGGCAGAACTGAAATAATTTCCTCTTCTCAGACATATACTAGGGAAAATTTAATTTTATAGTCTACAGATGATGAGGAAGAGAATTTAACTGCTTTTAAAAATAGTTAAAAATTAACAAATCTTTTATGAGTTTTAAAGCCACTGGACCTTTAATTGGCATAACCAGTTCCCCATCTATTCCAAAGGTGTTGCCTTTTCCCTGCTCCTTAAAACAAGTGACTTTTGAGACTGGAGGGGTGGGTACCAGAAGGAAGACTACAAGTAAAACAAGAAAAAGTAATTTTGTGCTTAGAGAACCTCCAGAGTATATTTGCTGGACTTAGGCAATTATGTTTGGCAAATGGACAAGCCTTTGGTCCCTCTTTTAAAGAAAGCTACATGTTAAGTGGATCCATCCAATTTCTCAACTGAAATGCTTTAAACCAGCCAGTCTTGATTAACAATATTTCTGCCCTTCTGCCATGCATAAGCTATAGTGTGTGCTATTTTAGTGCTGCCATTCCAGTTCATGAATGTCACTGGCTTGGACACGTAACTTGAGTTGTGCTTTTCAGAGGGTGCTCTTTGTACTCCTCTTGATTTGAGTATTATCTCAAGGTCACCAACAAGAAGTAGTTAAAGCAGGAAGTTTTGCAGTGTTGCTCACACTGTGTGTGTCTACCCTGTACATTGTACTGTAGGTGTAACACAGTTCATTGTAAGTCCTTGATGCAGCGTCTTTGTCTTTCTGCCTCTTGAGGAAGTGTCACCACTGCTTTAAATATGTATATTGCAAGGCTTATTATAGGCCTTCAGGACTGACATGTCCAGGATCACTATTACTAAAACTGTCACATGCCTAAGCCCAGGATTAAACATTATATTAGAAACTGCAAAAGGTGATTCCATGAGTAGAATCAAATGTGTAGTTATACCAGGAAACTTTAACACCATCAGGGTGTGATTCATAATGAGTCAAAGGTTACATAGTTCCAGAGTTTTGAATAGACTCACTAACTCCTCTGCCACTTCATTTCTTTGACCTATTATTGATTGTACAGAGCATTTGTCTTGTTTTAAAGATCTGAGAATAACTGGTTGCACAGCACCAGCCCACTAAGCTATCAGTGAGGCCTATCAGTTGGAACATACTGATTAAAGTACCAACTTAATTCTGGATACATAGATTTTTCTGTTGGCTTTGCTACAGAGCCCTTGGCCATTTTTGGGAGTGAGGGTAATGATAGTAAAATTATTATTTAATAGCTGCTTCTTTGTCAGGTTACACACATACACACACACAATGTGTTTTACAAAAGGGATGACTGATCTTTGAATGCTCCTGTGTTTTGGATGTACAGTTTAATTTATTTGAAAAGGACCTGGTTTGGAAGACAGGGGGAAGACCCTGCTGTTACTGCTTCAGAGAATCTGAAATGGTGCACCCTGAAACTAAGGCCTGCCCAAGGGGGGCACTTTGCAAAAGGAGCTGTGAACACTGTGAGAGGTGTTGGGGAGAAGTGCTATTGACCTGTGCATCTGCAGGAGGAGATGCTGGATTTGTTTTGGGTGGACCAAAAGAGCATACTAAGCAATTTTAGACTGTGTTGACAAAGAAATGTAAGTGCTGTTTTACCCAGAGGAATGGAGAGGAGGATGCAGGTTCTAGAGCACACTAAGAAAAAAACCCATATTTTTCCTGTCATTTTATGATACTATTAAACACCAATAGTACATAATATTTTTGTATTAATATACAAAAATATGATATTAATAAAGTAGGCAGGAGCCCTGTTTTGGTTTTCAGAAACAGTCCTTCTGCCATGAAGCCCTTTTCGGGGGATTCTGCAGCACATATGAGAGTGCTGATATGGAGCAGCTGCTTACTTATATTAAGGCCTCGCTGCTTTCACTCTGTCAATGCCTTGACTTGCATTCTTAGTGATTCTGTTTCAGTATCCATCCAGGCTGAGCTGTGTGTCAGTTCACACAGAGTCTGTTTTTAATTATCTCCCTTTTCTGACAGGATTTCAGTGGTAAGCCAAACTGAATAATTATTGTGCTTCTTTGGAAATATTTTTATCTTTTTTTCTCCCCAAATGTTTGCTTTCACATTAAAAATTGATCAGAGTCTTGAGTTGGTTGCTTTGCTAGCAATTTCTTATATTCTTGAGGATTAATTTACTGCATTTGAGTGAGAGGCAAAGTCTCTTCATTTTACATATGGCTGTGAGAGTGTGCTTTTCTGTGAGCAAATATTCACTCTTCACTTAATCCTTCCTGCTGCATTTTATGTTTATTTCTTCAGTTCATCAGAAGAGGCACAATGAAGAGAAATACCTTAGTGCTATTAATGCTGTGACTGGAACAATGGCCAAGTTTGTAATTAGAAGTAGAGTCTGTTGTTATCCAGATTGATGCTGTGGTGGACAGGAGGACAGACAAGGTTCAGGCACTGAATCATTCAGTCTGAAACAGAGGAAACTGAACTGAGAATAAGAGCCATTGTTCAGTGTTAATTATCTTGAAGTATTCAGCAATTATTTTTACTAGTGATTTGAGAGGAAAAAGAGAGTTAGCTGTTGTGGGACAGAGAGATGTGATTATGGCCTGTTGAAATCCTGAGGGTTATCTGGGGGAACAGGAGGGAGAAACTTGTGATGCATGTTAACACCAATATCCCTTTAGGATCCCAGTACTATTCCCAGTTAGGAACATCAGCTTCCAGGCTGTTGGAGTGTCACTTGAGAACTGCAAGTGGATTGAATGAATATTTTGTGAGGAGATATTCTTCCTTTGCTCCTGTGGTGTCCGTTTTGCATATTCATGGACTTTCTTTCTAGTTCATGATGATTGCCTGCTTCACTCCCGAGGCTCTGAGCTGCTTCTGGTGAGTGAAGTAGGATATGTGAAGTCTGATATTTTTGTTCAGAACAGGGTGGGAGCATTTATGGTGATAGTTGAAGGAATGGCTTGGCAAATCTTGCTCTGGTTGCTCTGGTGTGGTTCTAGTTATCTCATGGTGGTTTGTGGGAAGGAGTTTAGCTCCCTTCTCAAAGAAAACCACAGAGAGCACAGTGTGCTCCCAACAGATGACAAAACAGCAATTGGGGAACTGAAGCAGTCTGTATAGATAAATGGGAGGTTGAAGGACACAGTAGGACAGATGGAGATGGAGAAGAGTAAATTACAGTCTTGCTCTTATCTACACATACTTTCCCTTCTCCACAAGGAATTATTTCCTTCTACTTCCCTAGCTATCCTTCCACTCTCTTAGCGCTGCTCTACTTCCAAACAAACCCTGCTTTTCCCTGTTTTTTTTTTTCCCTCCCCTTCCTTCTAGTCTGTTAGATGTGTCCCAAACACATCCCCTGTGTTCTAAATAACCTCAGTTATGGACTTCCAGACACACTGTTCTCCTTTCACAAAAACTGATTTCCCACCTGCCCTCAAAACTGAATTCTTTGTTTCCTTATTTCGTATACTTGTCTTAATTTCTTGCATGATTTTTATCCTTTCACTTCATTAGGCTATGGAGAAACTCCTGGGAACATGACCAGAATGTTTGTAAAAATTTGGAAACAAGGGTGGCAAGAAACAAATACTGGTTTTGTCAGTTTTCTCCTTTTCCTGAAATCAGGAGATGGGAATCCAGTCCTCAACACTTGGATTCCTCCTGAATATCATCCTACAAAATACTGATTTTCCTACCTTCCTACCTTTATTACCAGGAAAACCCTAAAAGTGAACAAAGTTTGAGTAACAAAAAAAGTCAAATGGTCTTCAAGCATCACAAGTATATTCCAAAAAAAAAGATTTCTCTGTGCATCACCAAATAGCTGCTAATCACAAAGAAGGCAGTTTAGAGATTGTGGTTCCTTAAGATTGGTACAAGCTTCTGCTGTTTGGGTTTTGTTTAAAGCTCAGAGATACAGGTTATTTTCATACATAACAGATAGGATTTGTAAATTACTAAATGAAGAAAAATGTGTAACAAAATTAATGTTAAAGATGATCTGAAGTTATCTTCTTCTTGAAAGCATCCGGAGCTTTTGCTGATAACTTTGGTTGATCTGAGATTTCTCACCATCTGCTTCATTCCTTTTTTTCCATCCAGGTGAAGTCAGAAAGTAACTCCAGTTCTAAAAGGATTCACACTGTTTTTAAGGAAGCAATAAAGATGCTACAAGAAAAAGGAGTGGTTTTCCAGAAACCTGGCAGCTCCAAGGACTTATACTATGTAAGGAATTGAGCTGTGGTTGCAAACAAGTTCAGTAGTATGACTTTCATAATCAGTAAAAACAGTAAAAATATTGCAGAAATAGTAGAAATGTTTCAGAAAGAGAAGCTAGACATCCAGGTGCTCTCAGTTTACTCAGAAGTATTTTCTGCAGCTTACTTCACTGTTGGTTGTACCTCTGTATCACCCACTGAGTTGTTCCAAGTTCTGCCTATGTTCACTGGACTGCCAAACTGCTCTAATCCAGCTGAGCTCACTGAAACCTGGAGCCCAGGGCAGTTCTCCTTATCAAAGTGGGTTCAAGCTTGCTGTTCTGCTGAGTCAGTCACCCTCCTTTGGGTCAAACTTTGTTGTATTATGTTCTTCACCTAACTCATCGATGCTGCTAATAGTAGTAAAAATACTGCCTGAAGATTTGACATCCATTATTAGTCTTGGAGTCAGCATGAAATGCAGAGTGTAATTATGACAGTGTTAGCTTAGAATGCACCATAGCATTGGATTATTTTTCAACAGCAAGTCCAGTTTCTCCTTTTTTTTCTTCAGGTGACTGAGCATGATAAGGAGCTGTTTAAAGTGACCCTTGATGTGATTAAAGAAGACTGTCGAAAACCCAGGCGTAAGTAGCAGAGTGATCAAGCTCTGTTGAGCTGGTGCTGATACACTGATGACAATATCTCCTCCTTCTGCTGGATTGGATATGCTGCTTGTCCTCACCCTCTAACTCAGGCTGCTGCTGGTGTAGCTAATCAGTATAGCTAAAAGCAGGAGTGCAGGAGCAGCTTCCTGTGAGCATGGAGTGAGAAAGAGCAGGTGTGCCCAGCAGGAAGCAAACTTCTGCAGCAGGAAGCAGCCATTATCTTAGATCTGTATCTTTTGAGAATACTTGGATTTTGGGAGGAACCAAATGTAATGAAGTCAGGTCACCACCTAGCAGGTGTTGTTTTGCACTCTGGAGAAGTAGCAAATCTTGCTGGTTCAGTTTCTATAGGGGAGTTGACACAAAAGTGACCATGCAGAAAGGTGAAATCCCCGCCTCCTGTAAATCAACAATAAAACTTGCTTAAGTCAGTAGGATATTCTCTGGAGATTTTAAGATCAAGTAGAGCTCAGATAGTATTTCTTTGTAGTTAAGGATTTCAGTTGGACAAAGTCTATTTCTTTTCAGATAAGGTGCCTCAGGTGGCTGAGTTATCCCTGTTCCTCAAACTATTGTGTCTTATTGCCAGAGAGATAACTTGTGCTTGACTTGAATTTGTTCTAATTACACAGGTACATTGCTACAGAGTGTCTTTCAGTTCATGGGATAGAATGTGCCAGCAGGGATCACTTGCTGCTGGAGTGTAGCTATTTGTGGGACAGAATGTGCTTTAGTACAGAATAAATGACTGACTGGAACATAAGGCATAAAATCTTAAATTGCTCATATCCCTATACTATCATAACTACAATAGCATTTGCAAGACCTGGAGTATGATGGTCATCCTGCAGTGAAAAAAAGGCTAAGTCAGGCAAAATCAAGTTTGAGTTTTAACTGTCTCTCATAAGAAGTGGTACAATTGTAGACAAGGTCTTGGGAGAAGAAGTTACTACTGGGCATGCAGGTTAATATGGGCTTGTTTGCCTGAGGGTGTTTCAGTGCAACAAATTGCTGTATCACATTGTTTTATTGTCTTTTATCCAGTTAACAAACATAATTTCTCTAAGAGTCAAATCATTCCTTTGCTCATTTTATACATCAGCTAGTTCTCCTGGTAACCTGATTTTTTTAATATAACTATGCCACCATCAAGGCCAGAACCTCTCTACAGCTGACAGAGGCACTGAGTGACTGCCTCCCGTTTGTTCCCTTGTGCATTGTCACAGCGGTCAAGTACTCTGTGATCCATGACAAGTTGGGAAGTTCTTTCGGTCAGGAAAGTCAACAGCAGAGAGTAATTTGTAGATCAGTCACAGAAAAGACTTTGAAGAGACCTGAGTCCTCAAAGCCATGTTTTCCATAATAAGCAGTTTAAAATTAGCAACTGTTTTACAAACCCTCTTGTTCTCCTCGAAGCTTTCCTCCTATTTAGTTTCCCGCTGTAAAGAGGACAATTTCCAGGTCAGCGTCCCTTTGCTGGTTTCCAGAAGGACCATTTCGATGTCCTGGTCGTTGGCAATAGGCGCAAAGCCGAGAGGCTGCGATGGAGCCCGGCAGGCACGGCGGGATTGTTGTGCGGGGATGATGCGGGAGCGCGGAGCTCAGCGCGGCTGTCGGCTCCCCTCTGCCGGCGGGAGCGCGGCTCGGCGGGGAAACAGCGCACGGGCATTCATTCACCTCAGGGCTTCTTCTGGTGTGCTGCGAGAAATTCCTACCCGTTTTCCTCCAGGAGTAATAGCAATCTTCCACGACAAGAAGGATGATTTATGATAATTCAAACTCTTCTCTCCGATGAGTTACTTCTCTGCCAGTTTTCCAGGCAACGCCTTGCCCCATTGCTGTAGTTGTGACACATTCCCAGGCCCAACCCAGCTGTCTGAAACTATTGTACAAATTTAAAAAAAAAAAATCTTGCCTGCCTACTCAGAGCTGCACAAGCCCTGATCTGTAATGTGCCTACATTACAATCCTAGTCCTTGGCTCCACTTATAATACCTGATCTTAAATGCACTCATGAGAGACCACTGTGAGTCCATCTAGAAACTTAATATAGCCAGATAGCAGATTTCTACTCCAGACTGAATTGTAAAATGGATTTGGGTCTTGGTTTGTTTCTTTGTTATATAAATTGGCTTTGTTTCTCTGTTTTATAAATTTTAGGCTTAGATCAGGCTAATGGAAGAGAGGACAAAAACCAGAACCACTTGAAGTTAAATTTAATATGTCAGAATGTACCCTGTGTGAGATGTCTGCAGTGAGCAAATGGTAGTTGTTCCAAAACTCTGTCCCCTCTGATGTTGGTTGTCAGGCAGGACAGTTAATCACAGCCTGGCTTCCCTCAGCTGCTGGACAAAAGCAAGAACCCAGGATGTCAGTGAAAGAGGGACAGGAGTGTTTTGGGGTTACTTAATCATTGTGCACACCTGCAGCTTCCCCAAAGTGCTGTTTTCTACCAGCATCTAGGGGGAAGGTACACATTGTACTGTTAGGTAACACTTGAGTCATTAGTGTAATTCATTGAGATTTAAGTTACTCTATATCAGGGATGGGCAATTTGACTTTCTTATGACAAACCTATGACAAATGCAAAGTGCAGCTACCCATTTTGTTTGCAACAACAATCACTATGACCAGGTAGAGGCATTGTTCTGTTCTCTGCAGTTATCTCTCCCAGGGTAGTGGACACATTTTTGGCTATTGGCCACAAAGGTCTTTTTATCATGCTGGATACTTCTGAGGAAGTATTTCTGCCTGATTCACAGCCTAATCAGAATTAGGTTGAACTGTTTATTTACTGCTATCTACCAGTGACTTTTCTCAGCAGGTTCTAAGGCAGCTCTGGAGCTCAGCAGGTTCTAGAGTAGAGAATTAACTGAAAAAATAAAAAACCCAACAAAATATAGACCCCCTTCCTGGCCCATGGCAGTTTCTCAGTACCCTTATCAAACTTGCCTTGCATCATGTGAACTAAGGCAAAGGAAAATAATTTGTGCTGATAAATGTGATTTATGTCTGTTTTCCATTGTCAGCTGATGTGGAAAAATAGGTTGTGGACCTCAGCATATGGGGGACTGAGAGCTTGCTTGTATTGAGTTACAGGCTGTGTTGGAGGAAATGATGACTGGGACAGCTTGAAACAATGCCCCACCTGGCAGAGAAGAGATGTGTTCAGTCATGAAGGACCTCTGTGCTTGCCCCTAGCAAAGGGGGTTATTTTAAACTTCCGTTCTCTTGTACATTGCAGGGCTAATTCCCCTTAAAAGGTGACAAAATCTGATACTGATGGTTCCGTGACTTTCTACTCCCATAATTGCCTGGGTGGTCTGCAGGGTAGGTGTGGGATAACATTGCGAGGTGAATGTAGTTGCAGTGCAGCAATTTTTCCACAAGATGCCAGCGTTGGGCCAGCGGTTACAGGCCCTGGCCACGCACCTCCCTGCTGTGCTAGATGTTGTGAAGTTGGGTCTCAGTAAAATGACTTCCATTTGGTTCCTTCTGAAGTTGAAAATACTGGATTGCCTGCATAGGTGGACAGTAGAGGTACCCTTACATTATCAAACTCCTCATCAAGTTCTACTGAACCTTGTATGTTAAGAGTTGTCAAGACTGAGTTATCTTTCCCCCTCATTACTACTGTTACAGCCCTGACACTTCCCAGAAAAGTCACTGGGAACAGTTGATAATTGGAGAACTCTTGGCACAGACAGTATCTCTTTCTTCTGAATACACACCTGTTTCTGTATCTAGGGCTCTGGGATTTTTCATGATTGATCTGTATTATGATAGTTCAAAAGAGGCAGACTGAAATACTTCCTCCATGCCTGGCTGTATTTTCCTTTTTTCTGCAGATGCTGAAAAAGGCTGCCATTTCCTTCATGTCCTGAGTTGTGTTCGGCAGAGCTACAGCCCCTCACTGCCTGAAGTGGTGATGCACCGTGTCTTGGAACTACTGGAGAGTAACAGTGATGTTGTCAGCACTATGGAAGGATATTTCATGGTATTTTAAAGAGAAAAGATAAGAGAGGTTGAGAGACTGTGAGAAGCTGTAATTATCTGGTGTGATCTAGATAGTGGATAAAAAAGAGCCTTTTGATTCTTCAAATGTTATTTTTGTCCAGCTTCAGAGAAATTGTTCAAATACTTGTTTTAATATTCTTCCTGACAGCCTTGCTATTCCTAGTGAAAGTGGTATCAAACTGATTCTGGACATTCTAATCTAGCAGGGAAACTGGAAAAGAAACTGTGCGCTTGGAGTAGTATGAGACATTCACCATCCTCACATCTGCATCCAATGGGCCTAAAGAAAAGTTTCTGCTAAAGATCACTGTTTACAGCAGTGGTCATCTCAGGAGGTATTTTTCTGGCTTAAAGACTGATCTTGCTTTACGGTTTCATATGGTAATAGCTGTGGATCTTTCTTTTTATGTGAACTTGTGACACCTAGAGAAAGGACACACAAACAGAGGGATTTGCCTGTCCTTCCTGGCAGTGCTGGTGATTCTTTGTCTGTGAACATGTGTTCCTCAATCTGGACAGCTTTCCCACTACTAAAGCAATTCTTACCATTCTCTGTAAAGTAATGTTCAGGAATGGGGTCCTGCATCCCTTCCCAATCCTGCATCCCTTGCCCACTGGTTGTCAAGCGTGTGTTTGTTCCTCTGCAATCCCGTCTGTGCCACTGATGCCTGTTGTTGTGGTTTCTCTTCAGACAAGAAGTCTCAAAATCAGCTACAGTTTTCCTGTTTCAGTTGCTTCCTAGATCACAGATGGTAAAACAATAAATTAGATTGGAAAAGAAAATACAGAAGCCAATGAGACCCACTGTAATTGCCTCTGCCTGCTATTTTTTGTGTCTTTTATTCTTTGGCACTTTTGTGGTAAAATACTGCCCATATCTGTGCTTGCAGAACACAAGGCATAGATGAAAGAACACTGGCCTAAAGAAGGTTACCATGCAAGATGTTTGATCTGGAATAATTATAACTCTGTTATGTGCAACAGTTAAAAAACAGAGTTCAATATTTATGCTTAGAGAGGGCTTGCTACTGCAGGGACTTGTCTGTTTAATTAATCTGTTTAATTTATGGTGTGGGGGTGAGATCTTTAACTTGAAAAGAGTACAAAAGATTGAATTTATCCTTTTTTCCTCTGCACCTTCCCTGTAACAGTTGAAACAGCAGACTCCCAGGAGGCAGCTGTAGTGGTAAAGCCCTATATAAGGATTGACATAGCAGGGAAAAATAAACCATATGCATGAGGAAAGCCAGTGAGTAGCCCCATGTGTGCCAGCTCTCTGGTTTGTTCCTCACTCCAAGCCCTGGCTGCAGTGAGATATAGGCTAAGAGAAAGGCTTGACAAAATATTTGGCATTTGCATTCAGAGGCCCATGGAAAACTCTGGCCTTAAAGAGACAGTAAGTTTGTTCATAGTAGAGAACTATGGATAAATCATTCATTTGCTGTGTGTTCCCTACTTGCTGCAGGACTCAGTAGCTGGTTTCCTCACATTGCTGCTCGGGTCTGAGTCAGGTACCTTATAGTCAGATCTTAATATGGGCCCTGAATGGGTGCTGAAGAGATGTACCTGTGCAGGAGGAAATAGAAAAGGATTAAGGAAAAGCTGTAGAGTGTTTGTTCCCCACTCCCTCCCCACGCCCTGGGTATCTCTATAAATCAGACAGAGACGGCAGATGCTGAGTGAAGTGCTACTGAGGGGAATTGAAACTTTAATTTATGCCTATGAGAAGATCTGGTTGGCCACTGGAGAGATTTGCTTTTAAATTCCTGCTCTGATTGTTGATGAGTTTGAAGTGATGCTTTAAAAAAGGCTATTTATGGAAGAAGTAGCTTGGAATATTGATCCCTAGATTCAAATTCACTTCAGGAATTGCCCACAGTTAAGCAGTACATATGGTTAAGTTGCTTATTTCGAATGAATGTTAGGATATTTTAAAGGAAAGTATGATGTGTTTCAGACCATTTGGAAGAGCATGGCATCTAATTTACAAGACTGTCTTGGCCAGCAGAAGCTTATTTTTGCTGGGAAAGGGTTAAAGGAACAGTGCTAGCTCAATGGGAAAGGTGATCTCCTCTCTTAAGTTAGAAGAAAGACCCTGGTTCTCCTGAGGATGACAGCTGAGTGTGTGGGCTGGATGAGTTCAGGGAGAAAAAGAGTTTGGAGATCATGTTGCTCTTTAGAATCTCTTTAAAATAAATTCATACCAAAATAGGATTAAATCCTCAGCTTTGCAGTTTGTATAGTTACATGTCCAAATTCTGTTGCCTCCAACTCTGAGGCTGCACTTACTGTGTTTTAGATGTGTTTCTTTGTGTAAATTTTGCCTAAAATCTCTGTCCACTGATTTTCTATGCTTGGAGGTAGAAAGGGCAGACACTTATATCTGCATCAGTCCTGCTCTGTTGCAGTTCAACTGCAAAGCCTTGGAGATGAGGTAGAAGAAACTTACCTCAAGAAACATGGTAAGTTATTCTGGAAAGAACCTGTCCCTGGAAGTTTTTAAGTTGATCCTTGCTGGGAGTACTCAACTCTTGTGATGGAGGGTGTGTTCTGATGGTATTTGTTACCTAAGAACAGGAAAAAGGGATTTTTCTCAGATGAGTTGTCTCAGGGAAATAAGATGAATAAACACAAGGGAGCCTATAGTTTTTACAAGAGTGAAAGGTTAAGCTAAAGTTAATGGAGGGGGCTAGATTTAAGCTACACAGATTTCTGACTGTCTCTACAGAATAGCTGTGTCTTAAGCTTGCATGCTTTATTTTTTCCACAGTAGCCACCTAGCCCAGGTTAGCAGTTACTCTGGTTGAGAGCATTCCCTCGTGCACCTACAGGGAATACAAGATGCGTATGCCTGCACAGCAGTGCCCTGAGGAGCTGTGGGAGCACAGAGCTCACTGTAGGCTGATTTACCCATTCACTCAGTATCTCTACAGTGTGCTTCTGTGACAGCAGTCTAGACATACCCATGTTGGTATAAGTCACCTTTATGTAAGTCAGACTACACACACTAGGGCTTTTACTGCAAATAAACTGTCTCTCTGTTTAAAGATCATATCCTTAACCAACAGAGTCATATCATGCACACTGTTAAAATTCTTAGACCACACCTACGAAATATTGTGCAGAGCATTCACTGAAAGCATGCTTTCTTGTTTTGTTTAATTTGAAAACTCATTAGGCAACACAATTATTACTGGTTTATTAAAGAACTTAGAAGGTGGCACTTTAAAGTAAGACTGACAAGTGAGAATTCATGTTGTAGAACTGCTTCATGGCCAGTTCCAGTTTCCATAGTAACAGTTATGGCAGTAAAAGGTAGGTAAGGAAAATGGAATTTTTAAAAGCAGTTGGCATTTCTACGTTATCTCAAAAAAATAAGTTTCTGTAGAAATGCAGCACCTGAGAACAAAAATTACCTAAGAATCTCAGTATTCTAGGAAAATGCACGGTGATTGCTTTTCTGGTGAGGAAACAAAGAAACAGCTTTACCTTTAGTCCCTGCCCTCTGCTTATGTGAGAGAAGAGATGAGGTTGCTTCATACCTCAGTTTCCCCCTTCTGTAAATTGTGAATAATACAACTCCCTGTGTAGGTCATAAGCCTCAATTTTTTTTTTTTTAGTCCAAGTCATTAAAAGCTCTATGGGAGCTATTAGAGAAAAACTATATGGCTGTGGGGGAGAGAGTGAATGGATAGATGTTGGAGTGGGACTTAGGAAAAGTTGTTCTTCTATTAGTACTAATAGCTTTGTATTTTTGTGCCTCTTTTTCCATGCATATTGCTTTGCTTGTCTTGTCATCTTTCTCTCCAAGGCCTATGAGGCAATGATGATCTCTCTGTTTTTATTTGTATCATATTTTTTCTGGAATCCTGTTTCCTCTTATGGCTTCTTAGATGACTTCATGAAAATAGAAATCCAGATAAATTAGTTCTGAGTATTCTTGTTCTGAAATTGTTGGATTGTAAATTTGGACCCATGAGGACATGCATTTTACACAACCTGCTTGGGAAATGAAGATTTACTTTCAAAATAAGAAATGATCAAGTTAAATATTGGTGACATGACTAAAAGCTGTTACTGTTTTCAATCTATGTATACTTGTGTATTCCAGTGATGAACAACATAAATAGGACTTGCTAATTCATTATTTGAAGTGGGAATTCATCAATGAGCAGCCAGTGAGGCATGGAGCCACACAGAGAATTACGAGACAAAGTACTGGAAATCTGTTTGTCAAAGAAATGCTGTTTGGTTTACTTTGAGAGTAAGCTGATCCTGTGGGGAAAAGATGTGCCTAGCAAAGATTTGTATCTTTATACTTACCTCTAAATGGGAAAGGGAGCAAGTTCAGATCCCATGGGCACCCTGAATTTTGAAACTTCCTGTCAGTGCAGCGCTATGTTCTTTATTGCTGTCTTTCAGCACAGTCTCCAGTCCTCCTGCCCCAACCCTCCAGGCTAGAGCAGAAAAAGTTCAGCCACAAAGATAAAAGAATAGTTACAATAATTGGTTACCATTCTCCAGGAGTCCCAGCATTACAGCAACATTTTTGTGGATCCTTGTGGGCAGCAGGGAAATGCTGAGCCAAGGATCTTGGGTTTCATTCCCAGCAGTATACCCTGTCAGGCACAGAAGACTTTCTCCCTAATTTCTTTCATCTATTCCTGAACTCCACTCTCCCCTCTGACTTGATTCTCGGGCCCTTCATTTCATTCACAGTCACAGATCATGTCAAAATCCCTTCCTCTATTTTGTTTCCTTTATCTTTCCTAACTCAGATATCCTTGTCAGCCTTTGGCAATTGAAACTTTCAGAATAATCCCCTTGCCTAACTAACTTGACACTGTTCAGAGCCCATTCTGATTCCAGCAGTCTGTCCTTTGCTCCTTGTCTAGGCACCAGAAGAGGCAACTTTCCTCCCAGCAGGAAAGAGCTGCAATTTCACTAAAACAGCACTCCTTCCACCCCACCCTCCTGAAGATTTAGTAGCACTCTAAATATTCTAGTGTTTTGGTTTTTTTTTTCAGGTATCCAAGCACAAAAAAATTATAATTAAAAACTAAGAGTCATGTCTTGCCCAAACCTGAACAAGCAGAAGTCACGCCCCTGGTAGAAGCTATCTGCCTCTCCCTGCCACTTTCATGTCCTTGCAGATCTCATTGCAGACATGATTTGTAAAGTTGATGTGGACTTCGAGTTTGTGTCTCCCAGTTAATGTGTCTCTTTTTAGCCTGTTTTTTTTCTGAGAAACTGTGACTCTATTCTGATGTGATTATACTGTGTGTCTGGGCATTGGTCAACCTCTGTCCCACCACCCCAAGTGACTTTGGCTAGTTAAGAGGGGTGAAGGACCATGACCTGTTATAGTCTGGCACATTTGTAGGAAATGGATGCACTGATAGAATAGGGAAGCCCAAATCAGTGCCTCCCTGAAAGGGAAGGAAGTCAGACAACACCAGAGAAACCACACATGGGACAATCCCAAAGAACCTGTTCCTGTAACTTAAGCTGCCACAAGAAGTACTTGCTCTGCAAGTGCTCTTTTAAGAAATGATTGGACAGTTTTTGCAGAAGTTTACCCACAGAGATTGCTCTAAGACAGCCATGGTGGCAAACTGCAAATCCATTAAAATCTGGTAAAGCTGCATTGGGGTGCAAAGTTGAGCAACTGATTGTTAATGATGCCACCAGCCCATTTCCACTAATATCTTTTAATGTGCAATGGAGGCTATACTAATCTAGTCACAGCAACTTACAAGCTGAAACCAGCCCAGATCAACAAGATTGCCTGAGAATAACACAACCAGGAATTTGCCAGCGAAAGAAATAACCTAAAGGAACGATTTTCAGTAAGTGCTAACTACTGAACACTGCAGTGCCAATTAACCTGGCACAGCATGTCTTACAGCTCTTGTTTTAGCTTGCTTTTTTGTTATTCACTGGAAGAAGGCACACTTCCCTACCAGCTAGAACTGGAGCTCTCTGCCACCTTCACATCCCTCTGCTGGAAACAAGGTAAGATAAATAGCAAATGTATGTCACTGCATAGCAACATGATTATAGACAGCATGTGCCAAGTCTGTTATTGGCCTAGAAAGTTCATGGTTCCTCCCGGGAGTGGAGACTTCAGCCAAATATTCGTGATACTTGGAAATAGGAGGGAGGAATCTATTCCCTCAAATGGCTTCCCCAACAATGGAGTCCTCCAAGTCCTGCAGGCCTAACAGATTTTAACATGTGCTCTTCTTGGCAAAGAACAAAGAAATGAAAAAAAGGAACAGAAATGAAAAAGTGCTTGGGGCTGGGATTTTCTCTTGTTGGCAATATTGGTAATTTGCTTTGAGAGTGTAGGGTCTGTCCTTGTGTTCACGTAGAACTCTGCTATATTGTCCACAAAAGAACCTCTGAGCTGTAACAAGCCAGCTGGTATTCTGAACTACTGCCTACACCACTGACTAATCCCTCTCATTGTTTTCTGTTCTCACCTTGTCTTTTTTCCTCTCAACAAAGTCTCTTGAACTTAATTACTGATTCAAAGAAGTTATGGTCTCTGTCCTCTTGTGAGTACAGTGATCCAGGACAAACATAACAAGAGCAAACTGATATAGAGAAGAGTTTTTGTTGGAACCCTGAATTTAGGAAAAGATGAGAAACACAGAGGAAGCTGAAGGAGAAGGATTTAGCACAAAGATATTTGAAATGAGTCCTACTGAAAAAGGTTAAAGAAATACTTGCCTGATTCTGTAGACATCTGTTTCAGAACAAGCAGCAGGTGTTGCATGTAATGAAAGCAAGGACTTGTACTGTTTTATTTTCTGCAATTAGAAAGCAGAGGAGGAAATGAGGTCAGGAAAAATGGAGTAAGAGAACATTTAGCATAAACAGCTGGGAAAATTTACATAGAGCACAGCAGTATTTATATGCTCTTTCTCTGCTTTCCTTACACTATCCTTGAACAGGTCTGTTCTACAAAGTATTTTGTCCTTCCTAAAAGACCAATGCCTTGGGTGCTCAAAGTTAGATGCTAAAATGAAAGTTGGTCACCAATATGCCTTTGAGGACTAAAATGTTCAGGATAATGTAATTGTCGCACAGATGTTGTCATGAACTGATGAGAATGATCCTGAAGGTAAAGCTGCCCTTGTCTCACAGGTGGTTTGTGTGCCTCAGTCACCAGAAAAGTGGCTGAGAAAGCATCCATTAGTGAAATGGTTCTTTCAGCTTGCATTCCTGGTGCTGCATGGCCAGAGCTTAACACATGTCTGGATCCAAATAAACACTTAGAATTATGTGGATGGTGTGTCCACTGCTCCAAGCTGAAAAGCACACCTGCATCAGGCCCTGCTAGAGAAACTGTAACTTCTCTTTCCACAGGCCATTTTTTGTTTTGGGATGATCTCATTTCTTGTTACAAGCAATTAACATCCTACAGGGCATTTTATTTTTCAAGCATCTCCACCACTGCTCTACGAAGTCTAATGACTGGGGGGAAAAGCCAAACTTTGTGTCTACCCATGGGATGATGTTGCTGTTGAGGAGATCCAAAGTGCTTTTACTACAGAAGTCTCTCAGTTGGGAAAACCACTCTGCTTTTGTATGAAGATAACAAAGCAAAAAGTTAATGCACTCCACTGCTGATGGGTAGAGGTTGGATGTTACAAATTCTTCTTACAGTGCCAAGCTTGTGTGCTCATCACCTGTGTTCAAACTGCAGTTCCATGAGCAACTTTTCATAAGCTTTTATTTGTACGTTTTTATAGTTCACAATCTGCCAGTCAAATATTTTCTAGTTTGGATATTGGCAGATAAACTCTCCTACTTTCTCCAGGGACTGTGCAGCCAAATAAAATTACTGTTTGGTTTCAGAAAGGGTTGAATGAGTAAAAAGAGTGAACAAAGAAATTCAAATTTCAAAAAGGGTTGGCAGAAATTTTAAATCTCATTGTCCATTAATGTATCCATAGAAGTAACGGGAAGAAAGTGCAAAGAAGCACTATTTCTTCCTAGGCTGACTTCATTTTAACAAGCCCATGTTATCAATAATGGAGATTACCATGTTTTTTTTGCAGAGGATAAACCAGAAACCTGACTCAAAATGTGCTATTTTGAGAACAGTGAGCATGCTGAAGTCAGGGATAGCATCTGGGAAGAAACCTGAGGAATTTCAATCCAAACCTGTGATCAGTTTGGTAAACTTCAGCTGTCTCACATGTAAGCCTGACAGGTATATCATAAATAAAGAATAGTGTGGCTTAGGTTTGCTTTATTTTTTTAAGTGCTTCAGGAGATATCTACAAAGCCTCTATAAAAATGGAAAAGTACAAGGTGTACATGGATGAAAAGCAGTGTGCAATGTTCTGCTACCACCCTAAATACTGTGCAGGGCACACACCACAGTGGGAAATCCTCCATCCACAACTGCTAAGAGAGGGCTGAAAAATAATGTTAGTCATGAAAGGGTTAAACTGTAAGATAGCTGCTTCAAGGAAAGGATAATCTATAATTTAAGTCCAGAGGGTGAAGCAGCTCTTTCATAATGTAAGTAAAAGCTGTTATGCTGTTGGAAAAGCATGTACACTGCCTGCAGAAGGAAAGATTATTTTGGTTTTTCCATTATACTGGATTGCACAGAGGGGCTGACAAAGCAGCAGTCTCTGCTGAGGAGGCTGGGAGGGGAAGGGGCACGAAGATACTGTGCTAGAGAAGGGGGGATTTGCCCTGCCAGCACTGCTGCTGGTCCCTTTGGCTGCCTTCTACCATATTAGCTGGGCCTATTTATCTCCAGAGTGAATTTCATTTGAAAAGCAGTAATCCCCCAAGAAGATGAAATGCAACTGGCTTTTAAAAAATTAAGAAAAAAAGATCACACCATGCTTTGTTTCAGAGTTTGAGATTTGAATGCCAGACAGGCTCTACCATTCCTGTCATTCCTATCAAAAGCCGTGTATGTTGAAATGCTGAAGTGGAAGGACTCATGGAAAGCAGCCTTTTTAAGAAGCTGGGGTTTTGTAAGTACAGAAGCTGAGATGGGAGTGTAACAAAGGCTCTGTGTTGTG